GACATCGGACTCGGACTTCTCTTAAACTGAGTTTTACTGTGCGTACTGTTGTACGTTTGTTTTTTCTACATTGGCTAGAGGTATAGGGAAAGGGTTGAGATCTCAAAAAAATATGTTTAAACCCGCCGCATTTTTGCGCCTGTCCCAAGTCAGGAGCCTCTGACCTTTGTTAGTCTTGTATCATTTTTAATTTTAGTTTCTTGTGTATAATTTGGAGTTTAGTATGACGTCCATTATCACTGAACTAGTATACATATTTGTTTAGGGGCCAGCTGAAGGACGCCTCCGGGTGCGGGAGTTTCTCGCTGCATTGAAGACCCATTGGTGGCCTTCGGCTGTTGTCTGCTCTATGGTCGGGTTGTTGTCTCTTTGACACATTCCCCATTTCCATTCTCAATTTTACACTACCAAATCCATCATGTAGTCAAACAATTGCGCCTTATCCCCACACCTATGCCTTCTGATAATAGAATGTCATCTTTCGCCCAAAGCAACAACTACATTTATGACAGCAAAAATGTTTTAGGAAGTGTTGTCTTCGTTGTTCTGAGTGTTTTTATTTCAATTGTTGTTTTTATCATAAGAGATTGGTATATTTTCTTGTCTCAGTAAATTAGGACTAGTACTTTTAATATTCTAGACAAATCAGTAAAATACCGTTTAAAAGTGTTTTCGTTATTTTTATTGAACAACAAAGTGCACTCCTTCTGCTAACAATGTTCTTCAATAGTCCAGTATTCAAGTGAGGAGTCCCTGTTTGTTAATACAGGAAATCCAGGGTTGTTTTCTGGTAAACATCATTATATCAAAATAACTGTTACATTAGTTTTGATAATAGCTAAATTATAACATTATCAACAATGGACATGATAGAATAAACAAATATATATCAATTTAGACTTATTTACTTAACAATTTACTATATAACATCTAGTAATTATTTTACGCATTGGTTCCGGATTATTTTCTTTATTTCTTTCGTGAACGTGTTATTTTATTACTATAAAATATCTTTGACACCGATATTATTACAGGTGACACGGTAGTATTTCCTGGCCCATAGGAATAATGATAGCCTTTTTAAAATTTTCACCACTTTCTAACACTGCCCAAAATTCTACATACACAGTTAACTGAAGTACTTTCCTTATAATATATAGAAATGAATTTGAATATGTATCATGACCGTTTACTTTTTTTGCTATCTTTAAAAACCTAAGGCCACTATTGCTTTTATGTCTGTTATCATGCAGTGAATACAAAATCTAAAAAGATTCTCAAAAATTCATTTTCACCTGTATGTAAAATTACTTCATATTTTTCTACACCTGATTCATCCGTCAGTTTTGGAAAGTATGTTCAGTTGATACTGTATTTTTTGTCCAATCACACTATTCAGATACATTAACTGAAGTAGGGTACACAAAACAGCAACCTAAATTCTGGAATGCAAATACTACCGTGCCACCTTAACAAAGACATCACAAACTTGAAAACAGTCATGACACCTATGATACACAGACTTCTTACTATGAAACATATTACAATAAAGAATACTAGTCTGCACTTATTTCTTACCAAAAAAAAAAGAAAAGATTATACCCCTACCCCAGCTAGCAGATTTTCACTTTTTTTCATCTTATCATTTTTACTTAAGCAGTGAACAAAACCCAAATATATGATGTTTCAAATCAACACAGAAATAAAACATGGTGATTCAGGAGGAATTATTGGATTGCCAACTCTATTTTTAGTAAATCTGACTGAAAGAAACAGTTTAAGAACCAAATCATGAAAAATGATAGAAAAGTCCATTCCACATTTTACAGCATGCCTTACATTCCCTTTAAGCATTTCCAGATTATGAAGGCAACATAACAATATTCTTTAGATGGCAGTTGACTTTTATTCTAAAATCTTTTTGACAATACATGTACTAGAATATATCTCTAAGTTGACTGTTTGTCTATTTCTCATGTATACATAAAGTTTAATTATGTCCCCTTACATAATCAATTTACCTTTATTGTGCTTTTCAGGGTCAGAAAATCAAAACAATTCATGACATTTGCATGGAAAATGAATAAACTATTTAATCTTGCTGATATACTATCATAATCATATTCTTTGTCCAAAAAAATTGTCTTGTCAATGTAAAGAAAGTCCTAATGCTATCTCTATTTCAGCTAAATATGAGGGCTAAATGAATAAGTAAGGACCCCTTAACCACTTACTGGTTCCAAAAAAGCTCATACTGGTGTCATGTTACCACAAAACTACAAATTAAACCTGAAGAAAACTAGTATAGTTGTACTTGTGTGGAAAAAAATAACAAATTATGCATTTTATTTTTTTCGGTGAAAATTATAGGATGTACAGGCAACTAAAATATGTCGCGTCTCAAATTCCAGTTGTTACGCATATGTTAGACACTGCGAAAAGTTAAAGCGAGCATTTATAACTAAAAATGTAATACAAGTTACATAAAACTTATGAAGTTCTGTTTTCTAGGTAAATTTTTATATTATAACCAACAGATCAGGCAAAATTTGCTGAATCAGCAATTTTCACCTCCAGGGGTGGAATTCAAAAGCTGTTTTTATTCTAGTTGCTTTTAATCAACTTTTTATTGATAAATTTACAAATTGAAAAGGGTAAAAACATACCTTTATTGATTTAGTGTAAACATATGTAACCCAGTTAAGGTGGCACGGTAGTATTTCCTGGCCCATAGGGATAATGGTAGCCTTTTTAGAATTTTCATCACTTTCTAACACTGCCCAAAATTCTACATACACAGTTAACTGAAAGAGGGACGAAAGATACCAGAGGGACAGTCAAACTCATAGATCGAAAACAAACTGACAACGCCATGGCCAAAAAATATAAAGACAAACATACAAATAATAGTACAGATGACACAACATAGAAAACTAAAGAGTAAGCAACACGAACCCCCACCAAAAACTGGGGGTGATCTCAGGTGCTCCGGAAGGGTTAACAGATCCTGCTCCACATGTGGCACCCGTCGTGTTGCTTATGTTATTACAAATCCGGTAAATAGTCTAATTCGGTAGGTCACATTCGTGAAAAGGGAAGGTATTGTAGTTACGACTTTCCTTATAATATATAGAAATGAATTTGAATATGTATCATGACCGTTTACTTTTTTTGCTATCTTTAAAAACCTAAGGCCACTAGTGTTTTATGTCTTTTATCATGCAGTGAATACAAAATTTAAAAAAAATTCTCAAATATTCATTTTCACCTGTATGTAAAATTATTTCATATTTTTCTACACCGATTCATCCCTCGTTTTGTGAAAGTATGTTCAGTTGATACTGTATTTTTTGTCCAATCACACTATTCAGATACATTGACTTAAGTAGGGTACACAAAAGAGCAACCTAAATTCTGGAATGCAAATACTACCGTGACACCTACACAAGCTTTGGATGTTTTTAAAAAGTGTGCTATATCCTATTCACAGGTAAGTCTAAATCAAAAATAATTTGTAGTTTAACGAAAAGTAAGGTTCTATAAATATTTCATTTATTTTGTAATCTTCTCTTTTTTAACGGTAAAGAGTCATATTATTAATCATCACAAGTAGCGGTGAAAGGTAAAATTATATGAATTGGTTCCAGGTGTGAAATTTACAAAATTTATCTTTTTTATTGATTAAGTAATTCATTTATTTTTGCTAGATCATATACTTTTCAAATAAGGAAATTATTATAACAATTTGGCAGTTCTATCTAGTATACGTTTATATTTGGTATTCTTACATATTGCCATATTTATGTCTAACAATCCTTCCTACGGTATATTCAATATGTACGTTTAATGCTCTATATTTAAGTTTCAAAACGAACATTAATTTTCTTACATAGCTTACATGTTGGACTAACTTTATTCTTATTAAAAGTGGCTCGGATAGATTGAAAAATATATATATTCTAGTTGCAATTTTGATTCTTGTAGGTATCCTTACAGTATCTTTATTGTTTCCTCTCTTTATGGTAATCAATGGGTGTATTTTCCGTATGGTTTAATAACAGTTCATATATTAAATGGTTGTATACATCTTTGAATCATCTAGAATCTAGAATCTTGTTGGTCCAGTGATGATGCACCTTTTTTGTATATAAAAGACTTCTGTTTAGTTTTCGTAAGCGGATGGTCCTAAAAGATTTCTATGCTTTCTATCCTATATGGTAAACAGAGACATGATCCTAACTACATGAAACAAATAGAAACAAAAGTCTGGGCACATGCTGATAAAAACCACTGTCCAGTTAATGCATTACACAATTTCTAAAATAAAAGATCAACAAAAATGACCAAAGGTTACTCACTTTTGTGTTGGCCATCAATCATATAGTAAATAGATAATAGTATCACGCATGGTTTAAAAAAATCACTAATGGGATTAAACACCATCTACAGCGTAACTTTAAAAACGGCTTGTCCAACAATCACTGGTAAAAGGAAGCTTACTTTTGATACGATATTCCCGGGCTTGTGTTTCCTATCATGATTTCCTTGATAGAGGATTGCTGCTCACAAGGAAGCTATTAATCCAAGAGTTCCAAATGTTGAAGTTGAAATCATCCCTTCGTAAATTTTACGGACGCCATCACGAGTTGGTTGACCGTTATGGAATAACCGTTTCACAGATGATATCGGATATGTTCCTAATGTCGTAACTACAATACCCTTCCCTTTTCACGAATGTGACCTACCGAATTAGACTATTTTGTAATAACATAAGCAACACGCGGGTGCCACATGTGGAGCAGGATATGCTTACCCTTCCGGAGCACCTGAGATCACCCCGAGTTTTTGGTGGGATTCGTGTTGCTTAGTCTTTAGTTTTCTATGTTGTGTCATCTGTACTATTATTTGTCTGTTTGTTTTTTTTATTTTTGGCCATGGCGTTGTCAGTTTGTTTTCGATCTATGAGTTTGACTGTCCCTCTGGTATCTTTCGTCCCTCTTTTACTTATCGTAATGCCCACAAACATCGTCTTCAAAACCTGTAAAAAGGTGTTGAAAATATACTTATTATGAAATCAGTGGTCATTAAAATGTTGCAAGTATAAACAGTTACTCACTGTAAAATTGAATGAGGGTCAACAAAGACAGATATCAAATGTGTTGAATGATACTTTTGGGAAAACTCATTTTATGCCAGCATACGCGACTTCTCATGAAAATGCCGGCTCTTGTAACACCAACTACTGTTTCAAGATCAATATGAAATCCATCATGTAGTCTAAAAATTGCACCTTTTCTCCACACCTATAAATTCTGATAATAGAATGTCATCTTCCAAGGCAACAACTACATTTATGTTGGAATATTTAACTTTTTCAGCTACTTGGAAAATAAGAAGAGACTGATTGACACTGAGTCTCCTCCAAAACCTATCTCACAGAAGAAATTCAAAAGGCTTCTACCCTTGAACTTAAGTGATTCTGACGCAGATTAATGATTGACAGTTTGTTAATGACTAGCTTTCTTTTCTAAATCTAAATGTTTAATACAAATTGATGAATCTATTTGAAGATTGGTGTGTTTCAAAAAGTAGTGTACAGTTTAAATTGATGCATTTGCATATAAATTTTTAATTCAAAGTAAATAACCAAGATGTGTCTGAAACATACGAAATTTTACTTTTCCTTCCTCTGAAGATGAGCAACAAATATTCAACTTTTTGAGTTTTATTGATGACATTTTTTAAATGTACAATGTATCATAAGAATGTATTTTATGTCGACTGGAGTGACTCGACTGAATATTGATAAAAATACACAAGTTTTCAAGTTCCTATAATAAAATTAGATGTAGGATAAATGTCAATGTCAAGACAGCAATCTGATGACATTTAGAGGGTAACATAGACACACGCATATCCTTGGTGGCCATGGGCTGTTGTATGCTCTTTGTTTGGGTTGTTGTCTCTTTGACACATTCCCGTTTCCATTCACTATTCAATAGTCCTAAACACTATACAGATATTAATAAAAACTATAAAGATATGGCCCAACACAGAAAGAGATTCCTGACTGGGGACAGGAACACGAGGAAAATATTGGTCACCCAGGTTTTAATTTATACCTGCAAATGTATTCAATGTTGAATTAACGATAGCAATGTTAGATATACCGCTAAAATGACAACATTACATGACGGGAACAGAGTACAAATAAATGCTAAAACACCAAAGACAGAGAAATACATAAATAAATAATATAATAATAGAACATTTCGACATGTTAACCACAGAATAACAACGAATAACTAAAATAATTTAGGACAGTACACAAAAACAGCTTAATAGAATTACGAAGTGTGTGTCTGTAACACGAATGGATCAACGCCTCAAAAAGTAACGTCACAGGTAAATTTCTAAAAATTGGATATAAATCAAGATTAGGTTTCTAATTATGTTATTTGATGTATTTTATAACAATTACAAGAATATTAATATAGAATTGTGTTAGTAATAGTGCAACTAACTATGTCGGCCTTTCTTCCAAATCAAACTGTGTAAAACAAATAAATCCTGTGCACATAGTTGCTTTAAACTAAAATTATACAAATGAACTGGGTGATGAATTATCTTTACTTTTACATACGAATAGAAAATAAAAGATAGAATCACAACTACAAACGGAAAGACACAAAACAATATCCGATCAGAATTACAAATAAATACACGTTTTTCATATAGATTAGACCGTTGGTTTTCCCGTTTGAATGGTTTTACACTAGTAATTTTTGGGGCCCTTTAAAGCTTGCTGTTCGGTGTGAGCCAAGGCTCCGTGTTGAAGACCGTACTTTGACCTATAATGGTTTACTTTTATAAACTTTGACTTGGATGGAGAGTTGTCTCATTGGCACTCATACCACATCTTCTTATATTTATGAACGCAGGATAAACAAATACCGAGACACGTCTTATAGCAATGTGAATTAACACTCAGTAAAACAGTCATATTAGTAACACAGAACAGGGTTTTGATATGTTTCTATATAATAAAAAGTATAACTAATCGCCGTATTGGAATATCGAAAATAAGACAACGTGTGACCGAACGCCACCATGGACTTTGTCTCTGTATCATTAATGACAATATAACATTACTAGGATTTGTCTTATGTCAAGTCCTTCTTGCATGTAACTTGTTCATCGTTATGTCCGATGATCTGTTCGTTTCATTCTTTATTTGATCAGCTAAATCTAGGTCATTCACTTTTCTATCAGCTTTGTCTATTTCGTATTTGGATCTATTCGGTCTCTCACAAATAATCGAGAGACTTACTACAATAGAACTCATAACCATAGAAACTCCTGCAAAGTAAAATCCGGATTGATAGTCGCCGAACTTGTCTGTCAAAAATCCTATAAAAGAAAAGAAACTATACATAAATCGAATAGATACTCATCATGTAAATACTAGATGATTCTGTATATTGATTTCCTGTATCCTATTGTCCCTTTTAATCTTTCCATGGTGTGAGAGACATAAGCGAAATTTAGACGATAACCTTGTACAATATATTACCTCACAATCGATTGCGGTCACAACATATGATGAAAATGTTTTAGGTAGTGTTGTCCCGGTTGTTTCGGGGATGTTTTTTGTCATGAGAGATTGGTACAGTCATTTCCTTATTATCTCAGTATTAGTACATTTAACAGTCTAGACAAATCAATAAACACAATTCAAAAGTACATTACAATTGATATGCAAGTCTTATTATCAATCATTTCATAAAAGATATGCCATTGCGATGACGCTGAAACATGCACGACGCATTGTAAGAGGACGGAAGTAATGACATCAAGTTAAACCAGTGCTAAAGACTCAAACAATAAAAAAATAAAAAACAAAGCACAAAAATGTCGTCATTCACCTAAAAAGCTAACCAAACCTTCAAACATACTTATTCAGACGGGATGTAATTACGATACTGTTGTCAGGTCATTAAATATGGCATATTTTGGAATTAATATTGATTCACTCATATGATCTTTGCATTGGAAATAAACATATTTATTCTAAAACCAGTTGTTGGCATGCTACTGGTTATGTTCTTCTCATATATTTTATGATGGTATGACACTAAACCCCTAACGGGAGGGATTGTGCTTGATTTTCATATGAAGAAGACATAAGCTTTCAATCAGTTTAATCGAGGTCTGGAGCTTGCATGTCAGTAACTGCTAGTAGTCCTTTGTTAATTAATGTATCATTGTCATTTTGCTTAGTTTTTTCTGTTACCTATTCTGACATTGGAATCGGACTTCTTTTAAGCTGAGTTTTACTGTGCGTATTGCCATCTGTTTGTTTATTCTATATTGGCTAGAGGTAGTATAAGGGAGGGTTCAGAACTCACAAAGCATGTTTTTTTGCGCCTGTCCCAAGTCAGGAGCCTCTGGCCTTTGTTAGTCTTGTATGATTTTTTAATTTTAGTTTATTTATATGTTTCGGAGTTAAGTGTGACGTCCATTTTCGCTGAACTAGTACACATTTTTGTTTAAGGGCTAGCTGAAGCCCGACTCCGGGTGCGGGATTTTCTCGCTGTATTGAAGACCCATTGGTGGCCTTGGGCTGTTTTCTGAGTTTTAGTCGGGTTGTTGTCTCTTTGACACATTCCCCATTTCCATTCTCAATTTCATTAAGTCAGTAATGGGTATTAATAGATTTACATGTGAATGCTTTTCATAATATGTGTTGTTTAGTTCTTTCAAATTGATCTAGATTACATACCTGCCATAGGTGGACCAACGAGGAATCCAAGACCTTGAAATAACAGAGCTATACCACATGAGCTGGCCAGGTTCTCTACTCCAAGAAGGTCCACTAAAATAACTGGTGGCAAAACATTGTATGAGCCACCGGCAAATAATCCTAAAATACACGAATATAACACAAAGTGCCAATATTCGCAGGCAAATACACAACATATGCTAGCAACGCCACTTGTGAAGATAGCAAACACATACAATTTCTGTCGATTCTTCTTAAAAAACTTGATGTCACATAATACACCAAGCATTATACGTCCAATAATATCCGCTATCCCAGATATTGATAATAAAAAGGCTGCTTCCTTTGAACTTATACTGAATTGCATTGCCAAGGCAGGCAACATAATAGATGCAGGTGAGTGGCCTAGTGTTGCTAACATAAAAGATATACAAAAACAGAGAAAACGATTATTTGTCAGTAATGTGTAATCTAAATAATCTTTTACGGTTTTGTTTTTATTATTTTTAATAATAACTGATTGTCGGCAATTTTTATCATTGCTGTCAGTGATCAATATCTCTGTTATAATTGTATTAGAAATTCCATTGACTGTTTTGTTTAGAATCCTTTCCTCAACATCCATAGCAAAATCAGTCGCTTCATCTATTGTAAATACTTTATTTGAAATCCCTTTCAAACTAGATACTTTGTGCTTTTCGCTTTTGGGGACAGAGCGAAACAAAGACCCACAGACACACATATTTAACATAACACCGCTCATAACCAGCATTGTTCCTTGGAAACCGTATTTCCTCAAGAGAAATTCCAACAGTGGTGCAAAAATAAACGTCCCTACTCCTGACCCAGCCGTAGAAAGGCCGTTAACCAGTGATCTTCTTTTATCAAACCATCTCCCTATTATTATAATACTTGGGATGTTTGCCAATGACTTTCCAATACCTAATTAAACATATATGATATATTACATTAAAATGACAAAATTATTTTAGCTGAACCAGAAACAAAGATAGTTGTTTTCGCATATTCATTTAAAAAATCGTATAACCCTTGATAGAAATCGCACTTGCATTTTGTAATCCCGCTGAAAAGCTTTGTAATTGTCGTTTCTTTTTTGTATATCGACTCTTCTGATATCTTTGTTTTGACAAACGTGACAATTTCAACTTTCTTATCTTAAATATTTGATGTATCAGCAGAAACATATCCACTGCACCGTCGTATGGTGTTAAGAATGGAGAAGCACGAAGATTCTGTACAGAGAACATACAAACATTATAGTTTTTTATCGCACATTCACAGCACAATTATAATATCCATATTCAATTACAAAGATAATAATAAAAAAAAAAAATCATATGCGATTCCAACGAACTTTTCAGATTATTTTCTTAAAAGTTGTCCCTTGGAGGCCCTATTTTTTTTTTAATAATTTGGAAAAGCAAACACATTTTTCAGTAGGATAACTTTATACTGTAAATCCAAGTAAAGTTAATATTTACGGATGCTTCATGCAATGATAATCAAGTTTGATCCCAAAACAAATCGACATGTACAATATGTGGACAATGAAGTGTAGGTCTGTTATCCTATAGTGTGCGGAACTGAACAAATAAGATCAAAATACTGCTATAAAATCAAACAGATAATAGATGAGATAGACAAATCTATGTTTGAAAACATTGTAAATGAAAGCAAACTCCGTCAACTTATTTTGGACAGTACTAACAAATACATAGATTGTCATACAGAAATGTGTACATAAATAGAACGCGCAGCAAGAAATATGTGTTATGAAATGCACCAACATCGTTCTAAAAGGATGTAATTATAACAGAGTACAGATCATGAGAGGCAAACGTATATCAAATTTGGAACATAACAATTTTGAGGTTTTTAACAATAAATTCTACCATTCTTCAACATTGTTCTGATTGTGGGCCATTTATACGAAGAACCCTTTAGTAAAAGACTGTTTCTTTTATTTAGTATAAAAATTTAAACTTGTGATGAAAACATACACGTAAATACATACATGTAAATATGTTAATCCCACATATCTAGTTATTTACACCCAGCATGGTTTTTTAAGCTTTCGCATTGAACAGTTTAGCACCACTAAATGATACAAATTTTGCTTCTTGTGTATCATGCACAATGCTTGTAACATAATGAACCTTTAAGTATGAAGAATGGGTGTGGGTATTTTTTTATTGTTTACATAGCCTTCAACACTATGCCATACGATAGTGGTCAACATTCAATGAATGGAGGAAAATACAAGAAACTGAACTGAACGATAAAAGCAACTGCCAATGGAATAAACTTTACTGATTTAAAGAGTTATATGGTTTAACAAAGTTCTAAGAACAAAAAGTACTATAACAATTAGGAATCACCTGCTACAAGGCCGTAAGTTATAAACATATACTCTATTTTAGGCATAAATCCTGTTGTGAGCCAACCAATAGACGTAAACACACCTCCGACTATAGTCATTGAGCGACAAGAAAACCTTGTGCTCAACGCACTGGAAAAGGGACCTGAAAAGTATAAATTGATTTGTTAACGGAATTTCGAAATAAAAATCGTTCATTTTGATGAATTTTACTTTTTGAATATATTTTTATACTATATAAATACATATTTTGACAAACGTAAGATGAATAAGTAATGAAATTAATTGTTCATTTTCAATTTATATAATATAGAAAAAAATCTTACTGAAAATTAAGACCATTGCGTTAGCCACGGAACCAACCCAAGCTGTTTTACTTGCATTCTCCTGGAATAAGTCCAACAATTCAACATATAATACACCAAATGTGTTTACAGCACCGCCAATCAAAAGGTGCATTATCACTGCACCTGTAAATCAAATAAATCTGTATACGTAATGAATACACAACTTATATAAAGATGTAACAGTTGTAAATTGTATTTGAATTTGTAAACAGTTTCCATCATTTTCGTTCGTTTTATTTTGCCAAGTTTACATAATAGCTCTAATTAAAAAAAAATATTGGTTTTTATTATTTTTCTTACACAGAAAGTACATGTATTCGATACGCATCCATTGTATTCCAGAAACGAATTGATTTGCCTAAAATAGTAGGTTAGTGTAACTTGCACTTTATTTATTTACCTCGATACCAAAACAAACTTAAACACCAACTTCTTTGTTGTTCTCAGACAGCTGGTTAAGCCAGATGTAGAAAACGTTTATTCAATTTGATATCACTGAAAATGTTTTTTTATACTGCCACTATGTTACGATTGTCAGAATTCATTGACCGCATAAACTGTGTCGTTAGAAAAATTCTTGTTTAGGACGTAGAAATGTTAACGCACATTTTAATCTATGACGTCATTAAGGAATGCAGGTTCTCGGAATTTTTGCTTCGTACGCTTCAAATTCACAATTGTTGATTTTTATTCAAAATAGTTTACTAGTATTCAAAACATTCCAAGAGATGCAGTATAAATGAAACAACCATAGTTGTCTCAAAATAATACATTGTAGTTGTACTCGATTTGAAATGGATAAAGAAATGCAGATCAAAGCCTCACATTCTACCTGTTTCTTAGCCTTGTACAAGTACATTTTAATTTTTGAGACAAACTATAATTATTCTATATAATTATATTCAATTTTTATATATTAATTGTAAATAAATATTCTAACCTACGACTACAATCCAACCCCAACCTCCATCTGGAGCTTGTACGTCGTGATTTGAATCGTTATCTTCATCTTTCTTTTCACATGGTTTGGACATCACTCTGAAAGTTATATTAGCATGTATAACTATATTTAGCTGTTCTCGTGTTTTAGAATGTTCAAGGGGCACCACTAGAACATTCACTCTTCTTATGAAAAAGTCGTGAAAATCAAATCAGTTATGCCGGTGACGATAGTGCTTAGTTATTTCTAAACAACAATCGTAAATTTAAAAGAAATCATTTCTCAAACGGTGTTATTAGAAATATACATGCAAATACACAATGTTTTATGTTCAGTGTTTATCGAGATAATTGCATTAGAAGCTTGTGAAACTGAAATCTAAAAAAATATTAATCATTGCTGCATATTGATAAAATAAGTTGGAAAAAATCATGTATATACAAAATCTAAAGATCCGTCCGGTCAACAATTTTCGGATTCCGTAATATGTTACAATTTCACAAAATATACTTTTTTTCACATCTAAGTTTTCAATTTCACCAGTCTGCTTTCGTCGCGTGAACGTTCAATATAGAAATATTGCCTTTCCATGGATAAAACAATTTTAAAGTCTGTCAGTGCAGGTTAAGAAATTAAGAGATAAATATTTTCATATATTTCATTAAAAGATTTTTTTGTATAAAATTTTAACAAAAATTCATCTTAATTTTTGTACATGTATTTGCGGTCTTCTTCATCTATTTACATTCAAGTTTTACAACTGAAAAAGGTCCGTTTGAATTTGATCAATAGCTTCACTTCAAAAGTGTTAAATCTCTGCTGCATATCAATCAATTCCGTTGGAACTTTTCCCCTGAACTTCTCTAATCTAGCTGCATACATGAACTGATAATTTGCAAGTTCCAGAGAGGGATACAGCCAGTAGAAAAATAAAATGAAGTTGGTACTCCAGGATTTCTTTGGCATAGCAACATTTTAAACCAATTTTGCATCAAGCTCCTATAGCCTGTTTTACTCGTCGTTTGTTATTTAATGAGGGAAATGATAACATTGAATTGACATTTTATTTTTCCCTTATTCAATTTATTTGTATTTTCATATTTACCAGAAAGTTTTCTGGTGAATTTATAATTGATATCGTTCTTGCTGGAACGGGACAAACATTTAAAAGATCAAGTTTTCAGTGTTTTCAGTGATAGCTATCGTTTTTGAGTGTGTGTTTTGTGTAAAGAGTGTTTATATGCAATTTTGTTTTTCTTTGTTGACATAGTTGTTTGTTTTATAGTGATTAGGATTATAACACGATGTTAACTGCTGTACCCCAATATTTGACATGTTTACCTTTGATGTCTGTTTGTTTTGCTCACACAGTGTTGTCAATATAATGGAATTTTCTGCGACTGTCATACAAGTGAGAGGTGTAGCTAGCTATAAAACCAGGTTTAACTCACCATTTTCTACATAATGAGATGCCTGATCTACACTTTTTGTTAATGCTACAACAAATTTTGCAATTTTAAACTATAATTTCTTCACTTTTATGTCTAACAATCCATCCTGAGGTATAAAAAGTACTCAATTATCAGGCCAGTACTAGAATATTAATAAAAAAAAGAAATATTGTCACTTTTTATTGTTATCGACGTAAATAGTAGTATCCGTAGACTTATAGAGCTCTCAATTTGTATAAAACTATTTAGAGACAAAAAAAACAGAATTTTAATGCCGTTGTATAATATTCTAACAAAATGGAAAATATTGGCACTTTTTGTTGATGAGACAACAAATTTTGCAATTTTAAACTTAAATTTCTTCATTTTTATGTCGAACAATCCATCCTGACGTGTATTAGGTAATCAATTATCAGGCAAGTACAAGAATATTGAAAAAAAAAGATATATTGTCACTTTTTATTGTTATCGACATAAATATAAGTAACCGTAGACTTATAGAGCTCTCAATTTGTGTAAAACTATTCATCCTTAGGAACAAAAAGAACAGAATTTTAATGCTGTTGTATAATAATCTAACTAAATGGAAAATATTTGCACCTTTTCTTTATGAGACAACAAATTTTGCAATTTTAAACTTAAATTTTTTCACTTTTATGTCTAACAATCCATCCTGAGGTATAAAAAGTACTCAATTATCAGGCCAGTACTAGAATATTAATGAAAAAAAGAAATGTTGTCACTTTTTATTGTTATCAACATAAATATTAGTAACAGTAGACTTATAGAGCTCTAAATTTGTGTAAATTTATTCATCCTTAGGGACAAAAAGAACAGAATTTTAATGCTATTGTATAATATTCTTACAAAATGGAAAATATAAGCATCTTTTTTTTTTGATGCCACAACAAATTTTGCAATTCAAACTTAAATTTCTTCAATTTCATGTCTAACAATCCATCATGAGGTATAAAAAGTATTCAAAACGAAATATTGTCTCTATTTATTGTTATCGACATAAATATAAGTAACCGTAGACTTATAGAGCTCTCAATTTGTATAAAACTATTTATCGTTACGGACAAAAATACCAGAATTTTAATGCCTTTGTATAATATTCTAACAAAAGTGAAAATATTGGCTACTTTTTTTTATGTGACAACAAATTTTGTAATTTTAAACTTAAATTTCTTCACTTTTATGTCTAACAAACCATCCTGAGGTATAAAAAGTAATCAATTATCAGGCAAGTACAAGAACATGAAGAATATTAATAAAAAAAAAAGAAATATTGTCACTTTTTATTGTTATCGACATAAATATTAGTAACCGTAGACTTATAGAGCTCTCAATTTGTGTAAAACTATTCATCTTTAGGGACAAAAAGAACAGAATTTTAATGCTGTTGTATAACATTGTAACAAAAGGGAAAATTTTGGCACCTTTTTTTTACATGTTTTATGTGACAACAAATTTTGCAACTTTAAACTTAAATTTCTTCACTTTTATGTCGAACAATCCATCCTGAGGTAAAAAAAAGTACTCAATTATCAGGCCAGTCTTAGAATATTAATAAAAAAAAGGAATAATGTCACTTTTTATTGTTATCAACTTAAATATTAATAACCGTAGACTTATAGAGCTCTCAATTTGTGTAAAACTATTCATCCTCAGGGACAAAAAGAACAGAATTGTAATGCTGTTGTATAATATTCTAACAAAATGGAAAATATTGGCACTTTTGTTGATGAGACAACAAATTTTGCAGGTTTAAACTTAAATTTCTTCAGTTTTATGTCTAACAATCCATCCTGAGGTATAAAAAGTACTCGATTATCAGGCAAGTACAAGAACATGAAGAATATTGATAAAAAAAAAGATATATTGTCACTTTTTATTGTTATCGACATTAATATAAGTAACCGTAGACTTATAGAGCTCTCAATTTGTGTAAAACTATTCATCATCAGGGACAAAAAGAACAGGATTTTAATGCCGTTGTATAATAATCTAACAAAATTGAAAATATTGGCACCTTTTTTTATGCAACAACAAATTATGCTATTTTAAACTTAAATTTCTTCACTTTTATGTCTTACGATTCATTCTAATGTATAAAAAGTACTCAAATATCAGGCTTATTATATTTCAAATTTGAGATGAATCCTTTGAGAAATAAAAAAAAAGTGATCAGCACTTTCATTTGGTTCTGTCGTTGTCGATATTGATCCGGTCATTGTCAATGTTGCTAAGGTCACATTTTCGCAAGCTTTGAAAATATGTTTTCGTTTTTTATTTATATTTAAATATTAAATAATGAAATCTTATTATATTTCAAATTTAAGATAAATCCTATGATATAAAAAAAAAGTTATTAGCCATTTTATTTTGGTCCTATCATTGTTCTGTCATTGTCCTATCATTGGTCCATTAATTAGTTTAACCCACCATGCAGTAGTAAACGTCCGTTTACTTTTTACAAAAAAAAACAGAAGACGCGCCCGTCTACTATGAACAAAATGAGAAGACGCGCCTTTTTCGCGTTAACGCGAAGGTTAACGTGAAAGTAAACACCCGCTTATTTTTTATGTTTACTAAAATTTTGGAGTTAACGCAGAGTTAAAGCGGCGTTAAATTTTTCGGCGAGTCTACATGTAATGCTTGGTCTGCACCCAACTGTAAGTCAGGAATATGACAGTTGTTTTCCATTCGTTTGATGTGTTTTGGCTTTTGATTTTGCCATTTATGAGGAAATTTCTGTTGTGAATATTTCTTGGAGTTAAAAGGAAATATATATATATATATATGTTTTGCATGCACACGTATAAAAATTGCCGTTTTTATCCAACGCAATCATAGGTTTGAACGTTGTTTTCAATTTAGACTTGTTTATATATATACATTTTCCAAAAGACCAAACAAGTGAAAAAGTATATTTTAACAAAACGCATTTGACTAGCAGGTCGAACAACGGATGTTCTTAAACCCTGCTGACTGCCAATGTATATATATATATATAGGACAATCCCTGATGATAGCGGGTCTATGTAACACTATTTTATTAATCATAAGGACAAATCCCGCCGAAACACTAGATTAGTGTAGGACTGATGCAAAAATATTATTTATAAATAGCAGATATTATTGATACAGATATAATTTCTTATCAGAAAGAATATATCTCTTTATAAACATAATCATAGATTATAGATTATGTGATAAAATATTTGTAGGACATTAGTTAAACTAATTTGTTCAATATGGTCCCGTACATGAACCATGTATTTTATATTTTAAAAAATGGCAGTGAAGATGAGGAGGGAATCCGTGGATTTTGGGTTCCGCTTTTTTTAATCCGTGATGTTTGGTTCCCCTTTATTTTAATTGTATTTTTGTTAATTTCGTTTTGTTTTAACACAATGTATTTATCTCCGTAAAATATTCCAACACCATTTATAAATGAAATATATATGCAATACTAGATGCGATTCAAAATTATAATTTTTATATTTATTTGCTTTTGTGTTTATAAAAAGTGAAATTTCTAGTATAATTTAGAATTTGTTACTTGTTTATAAGGCAGGATCGTGGAGTTCCGCATATGAGTAGAATATTTTCATGTACCTGCCTTATAAATCAGTTG